ATCGTTAGCGATCACAACGCAAAAAGAAATTTTGTTCCAGCGCAATTCGCACAATTGCTATAGGGGTTTAAAGGGCCCGGTGTAGTGCGCCCGCCCGGCAGGTAGGCAACCCGCTATCCAGGCCGCCCGCACGGACTGCAGAAGTGGCTAGCGGGCGAAATCAGCTAAGGACTACCATAGGAACATGTGTACAAAGTTTCATGCTTCTAACCAAAAGTGCAGGGTACCCCCTTTATATGTCGCTTAGCGACCGCACTAGGAGTGGAGCAATCCTCGAGGGTCAATCCAAAAGGACGAACATTATCGCTAGAAACTAAGCTTTTTAAAAGTCTACCATTGCATTGGGCGTTAACTCGTTCAGTGCGGCGTGCATCCTGGTTGTTGGAAAAACCAGCAAAGCGCGACCACATTGAGCCCAACATGTCCCTAGCCACACCACACTGAACGTGTTGTCTCTTGCCTGAAAGGGATCATCAATTGTGGACCATATGCCCATTGATAATACAGGGTGCACCCATGTGTATTGGCCGTACTTGTTTCTGGTCATACTGCACCGGCAAGGCATGCAGACGGGTGTTGCACACCCGCACGCGGACGCATGAGGCGCTGTGGCGAGAGTCGGTACTGAAGCCCGCACGCCTGAATGCGGCACCTTATAACCGAGCTTATAACCAGAAAAATAGTACGCCTTTGAACACCCACCCTACCTATACCCTGTATATTGAGCTGCTGGTTAGGTCTCAGTGGAGGCGATGGCGTTGACCGCGCACGATAGCGGTGATAGAAACGTAAAAAGTTCTTCGAGTGGCCCTGAAAAAATATAGAACCATAAAGGAAATGTTAATTTTCAAAATCCCCGTATGGGGGTGTCAATTATTTTCGTTCTTGGGTTTTACTTTATGTCCCATATCTTAAAAAGCTAAAATGATAAGCTAATCTGCCGAACACTTCCAGAAAAATATGTTGTTAATTATTATTGTTCATATATGGTTTGAAATGCGTGCCTGCACTCTTGCACGTACGTGACGCACTTCTCTAGAAGGCGGGCTACCCTCTCCGTCAGCAAAAGGCCGTGGAGTGAATAGCTAACCAAGCGTGTTTGACGGCGGCCTACGTCGTCGCCTCGTCAGCAGGTGCCGGGTAGGCAGACCCGCTTGACACAGGTGTTTGACGGGGCGGCCTACCCTTTCGTCCGCAGGGGCCCCGGAAGCTATTGGAGAGTGTGACGGCGGTCGGCGTCCTACGCCCCTTCAACAAGAACTCCGCAGGTAGAAAGAGGTCTACCCTCCGCCAACAAAATGCCTTGAGGAGTGCTTGGCTACGTGTTTGACGGAGACCTACGTCGCCATGGCGTAGCCTCGTCAGCGGGTGCCAGGTATAGGCAGACCCGCTCGTCACAGCTGTTTGACGGGCGGCCTACCCTTTCGTCTGCAGGGGCCTGAGACGCTATTGTAGAGTTGGACGGCGGCCTGCGTCCCTTCAACAGGAGCACCGTAGGCCGGCCAGCTCTTCGCGAGCGTGCGGCCGGCCGGTCTACCTTTTCGTCTGTACCGGGTCTTCGCCTCCGCAGAGGAAGCGTGGCCGTGGCACCGCAATAATACTTACGAGGGGAGGGCGACCGACCCTCCGGGCTTTCGGGCGTAAGTTTGTACACCTTCTCTGCAGGCGCAGCTTGCCGTCCAGTAAGAAATGACATGTCAAATGTCGAAACAGAATCAGAAAAAGACACCCTTCCGTACCACTTTTCGCCATAGTTTGATATCGTTTTGAATTTCTCTTTTATCCGGGGTCTCTGCCTGCGCCCTGCGCCGTCCGTGAACCATTGAGCGTGTCTGCACGCTGGGTGGCCTGCCGGTCGGGCGCAGCCACCACCACCGGGACCCTTGTTGGAGGGACGGGGAGCGGGGAGAAGGCGAGGAGGTGGCGTTATGGATGCTTTGCTCGACGGAGGGCAGCGCTCGCGTGCAAATGTGATAACGGAACGGGCTCTCGCGCGCCTCCATCGGGGTCATATCGTGGCCAATAAACCCGTGCCAAAGGAAGCCCGCGGCTGCACGGCACGGCCTCCTGCCGCTGAGATGGCTGGGTCCCAGCCAGCTTCTAAAAGCTCCACAGCAGGCAGCACTCCACTTATTACTAGTACATTTTATTTATTTTCGAGGATAACAAAATTGAAATTGCGCGTGGGGTATTGACCCCAGCGTTCTACACGACCGATTGTGTGCACATTGGGGAGGGGGAGCAAGGTCGCGTCCTCCCGCCAGGCCAGGCCCCTTGTTGTTGAGCCAGCCGCCCTAATCCCGGTTAAGTGCCCCCACGGGGTCCGCGGGTGGCGCGGCGGCGAGGCGCGAGGCGGGGACTCAAACCTGAAGGCGGCCTCCGAAAGCGCGCGGGCCTGCGGCCTCTACAACAGCGCTCTTTAGGCTTCAGGCTCGGGCTCGCGCGACGGAGATGACGAATGGCATGGCATGGCACGGAGC